GGTCGGCTCTGCGAGTCGACCTTAATTCACCGGTTGAGGCTCCCTTTTCGCTTGTCTGCCCGTTCCCTCGCTCGCCTCGTATCTATAGTAACATTTGGCTATAGTGGCCCGTGGTATATCGCGTCTAACACGATCGTATTACGTATTTCGCGCGAGCGTTTATGCATCGCAAAGTAGCGAGAAACAAAAAAAGACAAAAAGGAGGATCGAGAGCAAGTTGTATTGCGCGCGGGAAGATAATTATATTACTCATATTCTGATGCGAAAGTGTCTGAAAATATAGCGCGCGTTCTGGATCAGCGATACGATACAGTATGTAACGTTGTTACATAAAGAAAAAAGAAAAAAGAAAAAAACAGGAAAAAGCGACTCTGGACCGCTCGATTGCGTCGCATTTGAAGGATTAACAGGAGAAAGGGCGTAAGTACTCAATTACATTTTCCGCGAAAGCAGTTTGGCATAATGATACGACCGCGAGAATTACGGATCGATCCCATGCACGGGGGATGTTTTTTAAACGACGTTCGTCTCTCCCCTCCCCCCGTCTCTTCTCTCCTCCTTTTCCCTCTCGTCCTTTCGATTCTCGGCACACGGGCTGTTAAGATTCGCGCAAGTGATATGGGTCATTCGAGGAATCGCTTTGGCGGCATCGTGCCCTCTCTATTGGCAATAATAGTGCGCCCTCTGTCCCGCCCTCCGTCTTGCCCTCCGCCCTATTACTCGGAGACTTATTTTCCTCAGGGGATGAACGATTTCCGAGAATAGCCGGTACGTGACAGTATAAGCTCCGAATCATACATCCACGTCACCCTCTATCTCGGTTCCTCGGCGCGATGGCAGCGCACAAAGCGAGTATCCGCGAGTCGTCTGCGTAATTGATGCCTGATTAGCTCTCGTTACAGAAATTATTGCAAATTATCCGCGCGATCGACAGGTATCTTCGTGCTGTCAGATAAGAAGATCGCGCACGCGATCAGGTGACACTTGAGCTTTTCAATTAATCCCCGGTGACAGGATAACCGGCGGCGCGCGCAAAAAATAAAATTTTTTTCGCGAAAGAATGAAATTAAATTCCGGACGGAGGTTACCATCGTGTTCTCCGCGTATCGCGCACGCAAGATTGTAATTGCGTTGTAAATAGTTGAGAGCGTGCCAAACGGCTGCACCTTGAAAATTCTGCTTCTCGTTTTATATTCGCGCTTTATGCGTTATAATTTAATATAACTCGGCGCGCGCTCGCGAGAGAGAGTGCACGTGGCACAGAACAGAGACAGAGAAAGAGAGAGAGAGAGAGAGAAAGAAGGAAAGAGGGGGAGAGGGGGGGGAGAGAGAGAGAGCTCTAATACAAATCTATTACGCCAAATGTCAGTGGAACGAAATATTCATTATTTCAAAAAAGGGATTGATTCCCCCGGTCGACAGAGCGCTGCGCTACAAATAATTCGATATAACAAATATTCCGATATAACAAATTCGCTTTGAGAGCGCCGGTGAAATTTATCGCAGCGGCGTTTTACTCTGTACAACCCGATGGAGGTCGATTTTTCCGTGAATAACTGCGATCGCCCATTTGATCGATTGCTCATGGATTTTGCATCGGCCGGTTTTGATTTTCTAGCGTATCAATCGTCGTCGTCGCCGTCGTTGTTGCGCGTTGTTCGTCAAATCACGTTCGTCAAACCTCTCGGGGCGATTATTCGCAGAGCCGAAGCGAAGCGCGATGAAATGTTTGTCGAAATTGCCGGTGCTTTTAGTTTCGAGAGTTCGCCGGATTGGATTGCGAACTTGGTCATCTTATTACGCGCAACGTGAGCTTTCTGAACGAGCTGCAGAGCGAGTCGTGGTAAAAGCACCAGGAAAAAACAAGAAAGTCCAAGCACGCGGCTCGATCGAATACACACACCGTAGCGTTTCTATTTTCTCAACGGCGATTTACACTTTACCGGCGCCGACGGTGTGATATTAGTTGGGAATTCGGTGAAAGAGTAACATTCCTTCGCTCGCGGAGAGCGCGAGCTTGCCCCGCCGCCATCGCGTGCCCAACTGAAGAATAGTTTTCGTAGTAATCTTACGGAATGTAAGCGAACCGACGTTCGCTCGTTCGCTCGCTCGCTCTCTCGCTTTCTCGCCGTGTTAACCGATTCTCGCAACTTATATCCCGTAACTTGGCTTCCCGAAACGGAGGCTGAAGGTTGCACACGGTTGCTGACGTCTGGCTGGCGTTCGATCGGATCGTTTCAGGATAAGCTGAGCTTCCAATTGCGGGACAATCTCTTTTATAAACGGCGCTGTGCGCTTAAGTCGTGAATTTTCCCGAGCGATCGACGAGTTCGTAAAAATTGTTCATGGCCGTAGACGAAGAGGACAGGGTAGCGTAAGGCATTCATGATCGATACCGGTGCGAACGTTTGGAAGAAGGCGAAGCAAAGTGGGAGAGAGGACCGGAGAGCAGAAGGGGTGCGGAGGATGAGCGAGAGAGATACTTCCCCGGAAATTACGCTCTCTCCGCGGAGGCAGCACTTCCGGTCTGGCTATATATAAGTCGCTCCTAGTAAGAAGAACCGCAAGCGGACGTAGCCCATAAACTCCTCGTGTCCGAAATGTTTTGTCTGCGGTGTCTTAGGCATCCGTAAAAACACGTCGTTACTACGCGGACGAGTCCAAATACACGAGAAGTTTCGCCAAATGACGACCGTTCTATCCCTGACGAAAGATTTTTCGGAAGGTATAAAAACGCAAAATAAGAGTGACGTCACTCGCGGTCTTAACCTTTTATACGCGGATCGTGATTGATACGCTATTGATTTCAAACAGATGGATTATGTGCATCGTCTTGTATAAATTATATCAATTTTCGCATGTGCATGTATATACAGGGTGCTCGGGATCTTTTGCAAACGAAGATATTAATAATTGAGTTATCAAGTTATTATGATGAAATGACCACATGTAGAATCTCTTTTAATTGATAACTGGAAAATTTGCGTACTTATTTGTAAAATGATAAAGGATTTTTTTTGTTCAGAATGACCTAACCTATAATTATACGACGGCTATTGTGCCTAGCGACAGGTTCAAGATTCATTTCAAAGTTTAATATACTCATATCTATCGCTAGACACAATAGCCGTCATATAATTCTAGATTAGTAGACTAAATCATTCTGAAGAAAAAAGTCCTTTATCATTTTGCAAATAAGTACGCGAGTTATCAATTAAAAGAGCCTTTTAGTATGATCATTTTTAATTAATAACTTAATAACTATTGCGATTTTTGCAAGAAGGTACTTTTCTTCTCAATTTGATCTGATTAATCTTCACAATTTTCACAATGATTCTGAACAAAATAATTCTTTACCATTTTGCAAATAAGTAATATACAGGGTGGGGGGTTATAAGTTTACAAGCCGAAGTGTGAAGGTAGATTAGGTTAAGACAAACATAAAAGTCTCATACCGTTTTGCGAGATTCGCAATAATTATCGAGTTATTTATGACAGAAATCTGAAGAGTGGGAGTGCGCCGGCATAGATGATTGGAGAAGCGTTGCAGTTGCTTAGGCCGCAGCGCGGCCCAGTTGATCCAGCAATTGTTGCCGGTACGCGGCGAGGGGAAAGACAATGCGCTGCTATTCATTGTTTTATCTCGCCGGATCTATGTTTCGCCGCACGCCGCCAACAGTTGCTAGGTCGAGTGGGCCGCGCTATGGCCTAAGTAGCTGCAACCCTTCTCCAATCATTTATGTCGGCGCGCTCCCATTCCTTAGATTTCTGTCATTAATAACTCGATAATTATTGCGAATCTCGCAAAACGGTATGGGACTTTTATGTTTGTCTTAACCCAATCTACCTTCATATTTCGGGTTGTAAACTTATAACCCCTCACCCTGTATATATATGACAAGAAATCGATAGCAGATATTAATCATATTGCATATTGGTGCATTAGTGAATCTGCAACGAAATTTTAAGATTTATATATATATATATATATTTAAACTTATATATATATATATATATATATATAATGTATTTTACTGAAAAATAGAAAATAAAATATAAAATATATCACGGAAAGAATCTTTATTTCTCAATGATTTTACTTTAGTAATTTTATACGGAGAAAGAATCGACTAGAGAGGTTAATTTATAAAAAACCATACGATCTCATTAAAAAATTTGAAATTGACCTTAACAGGTTTATCCAAGGTTATTCTAAGAACAAATAAGTTACTACTTTTTTCCGTTTCGACATCCTGTAATTTTTATCCGAAACATTTTCTCGTATTTTCCTTGATTTCCGAAGTATTTTAGGTGGGTAAATTTAATTTATGAGTTATCCTGTATATGTATATGTATATGTATATGTATATATTTGTATATGTATGTATATATAGGGTCGTATAAAACGCAGATATTTCTTTATTTTGTGCGTATCGCATAAATCGGATATTGTTTTTCAACGTCGGATACGAAACACGTCCAATGGACCGAGAAATTATTTGCGCAAGAGTCAAGTTTTACGGTAAAAGAGCGTGCCCTATCAATTAATATTAATAACATTGTCATAGGACAATCGGTGGGTTGTTTGTCAAAATGCTTTTATTTGTTGCCATACATCATAGCTAACCGGGTTTCGATATAACAAAATAGCGTTACGTAACGTACTCGTTTGACGTATATCCGGAATATCGGATAGCGTAGCTTTCAGTTGGTAACATTTTCATGATTAAATACTGACGATACATTCATTCCTTCTCCTCTCTGCCCTCTCCTCCCCTCCCTCCACGCTCCGCAACGCATCGGTCTGTGTGTCTCGTATTATCATTTATGACTACTATTTCATATATTTGGACATATAAAATCCAATAATGTATACCCGAGTAGAACGAATTTACTCCGCGGCGTTGTTGCGCGTGAAAGGTATAATAGTATCTGTAAATTACGACACGCGGACTTTATATGATTATCATCAAAACGCGCTCTTCCATTTTTATGTGCAGCTCGTGGGCGGTGAATTCGACATGGAGCTGAACTTCGTGATAGAGGACGCTCAGAACATCAGGCACATGCTGGAGCTTCTCGATCATTGCCCACCCAATCTCCAGGTAAGCGAACGACGACGCCGACGTTAAACTAGGTCGAATTAATTACGCCCGGAAAATATCCGGCGTAACCCAAAGAGAATGCGGAAAGTACGCGCGAGCGAGCGCCAATCGATACTGCAATATCGGCAATTGAGAACTCATCGTGTGTATGTATATGTGTGTATGTGTGTGTGTGCGTGCGTGCGTGCGCGTGTGTGTGTATGTATATATGTGTGTGTGTGTGTGTGTGTGTGTGTGTGTATATATATATGTGCAACGCTTTTTATATCATGGCCCTCGAGAATATGTGAAGCACGTGGCAAAGAGAAAAGTGATTTCTAAGATCTTTCTCGGATATCATCATAGAATCGAGTTACGTCATACTCTGTCGGAGTTGATCGAAGAGACTTAAACTACTCAATCTTCCTCCTGTCTCGCACAAGTGCAATATCTGCCTATATATAGGAGGTTTTATTTCTTATATCATCCGTAATTATTTATTTCCGTATCCATCATCCATATTTATTCAATTCTTTTACGATCACCAACTGATCCAAATGTAGCGTCTCTGATGAGTATGTTACAAGTATTCCATTGGAATATTAAATTGTTCAAATGTTTTCAAGATAGTTCTCAAAGCTTCTAAATAACAACATACAGTCTGTAAAGTAAGAGCGTGTACGGCATAAATGGCATTGGCTTCAAATATCGTCCTAGTTTTTTTGTGAGCCGTATTGTGAGGCATATCTCAAGCACAAGCTTCGAGGAAAAAGAGTGTGCACTTTGAAGCAGCTGACACGACAAATTCGTCTCATTTGGAGGTCTTTACCGAACGAATACGCAGTCAACTTAGTGGAAAGTATGCCTCGGCAGATGCCAGGCAATTATCAATGCCGGTGGTGACTGGACTTATTATTAATGGTATAGCATTTTTCTTCTCATGGAGTACAACAAATCCATATACTTAAAAATCATTAAAAATAAATTTTTCTACACATTAACCCGTACACGCTCTTACTTTACAAACTGTAGTGGAAAGTAGTCTCGGAGATGCCAGGCAATTATCAATGCCGGTGGTGAGTGGACTCATTATTAATGATATAGCATTTTTCTTCTCATGGAATACAACAAATCCATGTACTTAAAAATCATTAAAAATAAATTTTTCTACACATTAACCCGTACACGCTCTTACTTTACAGACTGTACTTTCCCTAACTGAAAATCAAGACAATTTATGTTTGAACGTAAGCATCACATGACATGATATTTTGCGAGCATTCCAATTGTATATGCTCACTATTCTATTGATATCCAATGACGTCCAGTCATCCATGTTCATCGAGTGAAACTCATTGCTGCATCTAAATTGCGTCGTTCTGCGTCCGTCCAGTGTCTAGCCTCCTCAGCATCCGGTCTCTATAGCGTCCAGCTGTCGTCCCACGTCGGTCGCTCTTCACTCACTGCACTTCAGCCAGCTTTATCGCACTTGCGACCATGATATTTTAATGGCACTTGACGAATGCAAGTTAAATGTACGCATAAACTTTCAATGCTCTTCGAAGAATACACTCACGAGTTGCGAACCGAAGATCACCGTGTTTTTGATGATGTTGAGATAAAAAAGCATATCCCGTTTCCTAGACGATTACAACAGATACAGACGATTCAACAGATATTAATAGACGAATCTTTTGTTTCTTCATAATTCTAATTAAAATAAAACAGTAAATATATATATATGTATTTATATATACAGGGTGAGGACAAAGTACCGGAACACCTGAAAAACCTTGAAGGGTCAAGTTTTCAAACAAAATATTTTAGACAGAAGTTTCAATATTTTAAGTGATGAACTCGATAGTGCTCTTGAACTTGACTTTGGTGTCGACTTTCAAGGTCATTTGAAGGTCAACTCGAAATTTTCAAATAGAAATCTCAATATTTTATTACACCGTCTTTTTATACCATAATTTGAACAACTTTTCTAAAACAATTTTTATTTACCTAATATTTTTTGAGATATTTAAGAAAAACTTGATAACTTTTTCAATATTTAATTCATATTTAACAATATTTAATTTTATCTCGCTAACTATTTGTTGGAAGTAAAAAAATGGTACTCTTCTGTGCTATTTAGCCTCAAGAATATATTATTACAATGGCGCCCTGACTTTTGTTAACTTACTGACTTTTGGAAATTTCGAAATCATCAAATATGTATACATATATCTTATATACAGGGTGGGGGGTTATAAGTTTATAACCCGAAGTATGAAAGTAGATTGGGTTAAGACAAACATAAAAGTCCCAAACGTCGAAAAACTATTTGCGATCCAGGCCAACTCTCAACATCGACGCCAAAACGGAATATCCACGGAAAGAAGGCAATGCTCTGTATTTGGTGGGATCAAAAGGGTATGCTGTACCATGAGCTGTTGAAAAGTAGTCAAACAGTCACAGGGGATCTCTACAGAGAACAAATGATCCGATTTGAGCCGAGAATTGCACGAAAAATGTGAAACGAGATAGCATAAAGTGATTTTGCTTCATGACAACGCTCGGCCTCACGTCACAAAATCTGTCAAGGAAACGTTAGAAGCACTTCACTTGGGAAGTGTTACCCCATGCGGCTTATTCACCAGACTGTGCCCCTTCCGACTACCACTTGTTTCGGTCGATGGCACATGCACTTGCTGAGGAATGCTTCAATTCTTATGAAAACGTCGAAAAATGGATTTCTGACTGGATAGCCTCCAAAGATGAGTCATTCTTTCGCCGCGGAATCCTCTTGCTGACCGAAAGATGTTAAAAAGTCATCGCTAACGATGGACAATACTTTGATTGACGTACTTTTTCATTTTGTTTTTTAAATAAAGTCATACGTTTTGCAATGAAACGGACGGAACTTTCCGATTGACCTAATATTTTTGTGCTTCGCCGAAATATTGGAAACTTAGAGCCGACTTCATCCCGCTATAAATCTAGCACAAAAGTGTAATTTCGCCGATTAAATACGCATGATGATCGATGGACACGGATGGCTGGACGTCGTTGGGTATCAACGTGGAATAACGGCAAGAATTAACGGCTGAACGAGTAAATGCGTGTAGATTAACGCGCGTGTCGGCTCTTCGTGATTGTTGTCGTGTGTAGTCGATGACTTCTACGTCGACAATTGTATCCCAGTTTTCAATTGCAAATAAATAAATGTAAGAATACGGGAAATGTGTGTATTCGAGTTGACCTTGCTCGGCGTGAAACCGAATTTTCTGATCCTGCATCCGCGTCCTCCGTTAAACAGCATCACTGAGACCGCACCTATTTTACGGTTGATGCATCCGGCAGGCCTGAAACAGAAAATAAGTTACTTGATTAGAAAGACGTGGACGCGTAAGAACACGAATGGTCAAAACGATAAGTTTTCCTTTTAAATTAATAAAAATGGAAAGCATAATAGTCACCCTTGAAATTCCAGGATGCTGTCTAAGATGATCGCGTATATGAAATACCGTAATATGCCTTACAAATAAATTTATGATCAATTCCGGAGAATCGGAACATCTGACGTGCTTACTTTTGCATCAAAGACTGTTATTTTACATCTGCCATGTATCTCTCTGATCAAAAATGTAATTAGCCAGAGTCTGAATCAAAAGATAATAGCTAACTAGTACAAATTAGATTAAAAACTCGTTATTAGGTCGTTACTGTTTGATAATTCACTAAAATGTATTGGATTAGTCAGGAAATTCGTTTGCCAATTCGATCTTGCCAATAGATGATGTTGGAAGCTAATTGTCATCACTAACCTATAATCTATCTACCGCTAACCTATAAATGTACGATTTTAGGACATGACATTTTATTATCAGTTCGTTATTTATTCACGAAAATTCACGAGATCATTTTTGTGACTTAGTTCATTGTTTAGTCATTGTATATCAGATATAATAAAGTAGATGACGTTGTTTACCGCAAAATATGTAATCTATTATATGTTTCCGTCACTAGCATTTTAAAATTAGATAGCAAATCAAAATGAAAGTTATATTTTTTCATGAAAGATCTTAAAAAGCAACAGTAAACGTTATGTTGCCAACCAATGATGATTATTAATATTATAATAATAATTTATTTAGTTTAATAATTTTATCTTATACTTATCTATCTAGTTATTAGGCGAAATGAGCATTATTTATTGACTAAGAGCGATGTTGAATACAAATTTATTATCTAGTAGTTACACAATAGAGGTTACATAATAGATTCAATCCCTACTGACAATGAGTTACGTGTAATAATAAGTAAGGGTATGTAAATACCAAACTGTTTGGCTCAGTCTTACATTTATGCAATGGCGGATTTTTTAGCAATATCAAACTTAGGAAACGATATAAATTTTTAGCGTAAATGTTGTCACTCGCGGCATAGTATAATTTATCACCTAATATAAGGCTCGCTGGTGTAAGTTCCGAGGCCTACGAATGAAAAGTTTCATAATCGAAAGATTTAATCGTAGACTTCAGGCCCAAAGAGACAATCAAGTGTAATGGTAGAATCTAAGAGAAGCATGATAAGATCGAAGTGAGCGATCCCACAATCGCCAGTAAAACCGTGGGAATTCGGCCATGTTGCAAAATGCAGGAGAGAGCGGTCAGGATTAAAAAGAAGCTTAACTGCGTCCACAGGATTAAAAAAGGGAGGGTAGCCTACTGTCTCAGGATCAGAGGAAAGTAGCTCAGCCTTTCCGGAAGAGTAGTGGAGTTTCTATTTCAGAGTATTAGTCCAGTCTTGTCCGTTGAATTATCTAAAAGAAAAGAGAATGGCTCCAGAGAGCGCTAAATCTCGAAGGCTTCACCTCACCCTAAAGAGGTCATGGCTTTGAAATGCGCAATGGACCAAGTCCTAAGATTAGCGTCTTGAACGCAACATGGAGCGGACGATCACAACAGTGTTGACTGCAGGCGGCGAAAGTACTTCGCTTCGATGAATGTCCGGCTGTCCAAGCAAGGGCTGCT